AAACCTACCCTGGCACTGCTTAAGACCATGCCCTCTTGTCCTACTGCTGGTTGCCCGGGAGAAGAGACCAACCCCCACCTGGCTACAACCTCCTTTCAAGTTGTTGTAGAGAGTGATGAGGTCTCCCCTGAGCCTCCTCTTCTCCAGGCTGAACAACCTCAGCTCCCTCAGCCTCTCCTCATAGGACTTGTGCTCGAGTCCCTTCATCAGCCTTGTTGCTCTTCTCTGGACCTGCTCCAGCACCTCAATGTCCTTCCTGAACTGAGGGGCCCAGAACTGGATGCAGTACTCCAAGTGTGGCCTCACCAGTGCTGAGTACAGGGGAAGAATCACTTCCCTGGACCTGCTGGCCACACTGTTCCTGATCCGGGCCAGGATGCCATTGACCTTCTTGGCCACCCGGGCACACTGCTGGCTCATGTTCAGCTTCCTGTCAATCCAAACTCCCAGGTCCCTTTCTGCCTGGTTGCTCTCCAGCCACTCTGTCCCCAGCCTGTAGCACTGCAGGGGGCTGTTGCGGCCAAAGTGCAGGACCCGGCACTTGGCCTTGTTGAACCTCATCCCATTGTTATCAGCCCATCTCTCCAGCTTGTCAAGGTCCCTCTGCAGAGCCCTCCTGCCTTCGAGCACTCCCCCCCCCCCAATTTGGTGTCATCTGCAAATTTGCTAATGGTACACTCAATCCCCTCATCCAGATCATCAGTAAAGATATCTGGGCCCACCACTGATCCCTAGTGGGGGACACCACTAGTGACCAGCTGCCAACTGGATGCAGCACCGTTAACCACCATTCTCCAGGCCCGGTCCTCCAGCCAGTTCCTAACCCAGCAGAGAGTGTCCCTGTCCAACCCATGGGCTGCAGGCTTTTTCAGGAGTATGCTGTGGGAGACAGTGTCAAAGGCTTTGCTAAAGTCCAGATAGACCACATCCACAGCCCTCCCCTCATCCAGGTCACCTGGTCATAAAAGGAGATCAGCTTGGTCAGACAGGATCTGCCCTTCCTAAACCTGTGCTGCCTGCAGTGACGTAGCAGAGCTCATGCTGAGTTCCACACTGTTGGGCTGGTTTGGCTGAACTAGTATTCTCACACTGATTATGCTTTCCCTCATAATCTGCAAATCCTTTTCAACTGCTCTTTTTCAGGAGGCACAACCATACCCATAGTTTCTGGACACATAACTAGCTTTCAGCTGCATTTAAATGCATCCAGGTTACCTGGTTCTAATACTGCAAGACTTTCCTCTATACCCCGCTCTTCACCTAAAGTACAAGTGCTAGCAATAGGGATTCGACATATTGTAGAACAAAGCTCATGCAGTGTCACCCCCTAAGTACAAGCATCACCCTCCAAGTGCAAAAACAAATGCTGGGAAAGTAGAGGAACAGAATTCAATGAAGAAAATGTCCCAGTCACCAGGATTTCCTCTAACTGTTGTGGGTCTCCTTTATTCATTATCTTTCTGCATCATATTTGATTACTAACTAGGGTGGAAAGTGAGACCTGGTCTTACTCTAAGCATAGGAAAATTTCATTCCATATTAATTTTTCACTCTCTCACCACAAAGAAAATCCACAGATTTAATACAAAGCTTGAAGTAAGTACTTGGACACTTCAGACAGCATTCCTTCTACAGCTGAGACAGGTGTTGAGCAAACATGCTTCAAGCCTGATCAAAAACTTATACCTCAGTCCTGAAGACAAGCCTGACAATAAAGTCCTCACAGTTCCCTCAGGATCCCACTGGTCTTTTTACTTTTTTCTTCCTTTTTGTTGTTATTAAAAGGAAAATCTTAGGGAGCTGACTCCACTTGTGAAGCTGAATCTTAAGGTATAGCTTTCTGAAGCTTGGAAATTCAAAGCTAAGGTTTTAAAACTAGCCTAGCTCACATTCTAGTTCTGCACATTGAAGTTAGGCATGAAGCCTTCTTTGACCCAAAAAGTCAGGTCTCTTTTCATCCCTGCTTTGCCTAAGTTACAAACACTGTGGGAACAAGAACGTAGCTTTACTTGAATATAAACATTAGAGCTGTTGTGTCCCCCCCCCAAAGTATGTCCAGAGACTCCCTAATCAAAGAGGCTTTCAAGCCTTATACAATAACTTGATACAGATATAAACAGGCTGAGAAAAGATCTGAAATAGAACAAAAATAACCTTATGCTAATAGAGAGCTGTAAAGTATGGCAAATGTATTAATACTTCCCTATGCAAAGTAATCATCTCACACTTGTGAGATAATCTAGTGTTAAACAGAACTGTACTTGCTCCATCAGTAAGAATTAACAGATGGAGCAACTCTTTGAGCTTTACATAACAGTAATTAAACAAATCCTCACAACAGCCACATGATTTCATGCACAAGCCAGGGCAGTCTACAGAAAAAAGCTTTGCTGTCATGTTGGAAAATTCCAGGATGTGTAGCCCAAAGAGCTCTGCAAGGGCCATCAGCCTGATGACCTGGATCAGCCTGCCTCATTCTCCAGGATATCCTCTTCACTGCGCACTCAGAGTGAGAGAAGAAAACTCAGAAACAAAACAGCTGCAACAGACACCTTCTTCATCTGCAGGAAGAAGTTCTTGGACTGCTTCATCTGTAAGATGAGACAGTTATCCATGTACATTGCTATATTGGAAGTCTGTCTGAATAAAAAACATGGGGAAGTTCATAGCATTCATCATATAGGAAATTCAGTGTCCCCACAGAGAGCCCCTGGTACAAGCAGGTAAACTCTTTCATGTCACCTGTTTCACTACCACAAGCACCAGCAGCTCTCTTGTGCTGGAGCTGAGGCTGGAGGTGGGTGTGGGAAATGCAAAAACTACCCATTACTTCAGGCAGGAAAAGAAATCTCCCCACTAGGTAACACCCACACATCCGAACATATCCATGTTTGAATCTCTGTTCATCTAAAAGGGCAAGAAATAGCAGAATAAGCAAGGCACTTGAACTGCACCTTAACTGGAAAAGGAAGGAGTCCATCCATTACAGATGAAAAACACAGGAAGGGACAATATTTTGTACCTTCACATGGGCTCTCCCTCCTGTCCAAAAGTAAGCAGTATCGTTAGCGCCAGTGGACGTCCCTTACCTCTCTGAGGTGCTGGACATAGGGATGATTGAAAGGGGTACCCCAGGAGTTCACCTCTGAGAAACCCTCAAAGCCATGCTGGACATGGAGTTGCCATGGGGGCACCTGGGGGTCCTACAGAGCTCCATCCCCATCCCACCTACTACTCCACTTCTCCACTACTCCACCTTTGATGTCTTGGGCCAGAAACATACAGATGACACACAGGCCTTTGTCTCCAGTATGTGAAATATACATAGGAGCCTTCCATGGCATCTAATGCAAAGATAAAATCAACACCTGAAAGCAAATTCATCTCAATAAGACTGAACCATAGACCAGATCCAGGTGGTGGAAGGAATCCATCCATATCTACTAATTGTGCAATATGCCATCTGCTGTTGCTGAAAATGTCTGCCCTCCCACCCCCAACTAATGAAGAGTTTCGCAGCTTTTGGGTTCTTCCGCTCTTCCAAACAGGATTTGTAAATAGAAAAAAAAAAAAATAGGCAGAATGAAACATGCACTGATATAGCTGTTCATTCCCCTCTCAGCAAAATGAGCGACTGGGGGGGGTTAAAAACACCAAAGCACATGTTCTGCTGCCACCACCTGGCTATGAATAGACCTAGATAGAGTTTTAAAATAAAATGTGCTTCTTCAGAATGCATCAATTCACTAAGCCTATCATTTTTATATCCTTTTATTTTCCTTTACCTGTCTTCAGCTGGGTGTGCTTGTACCAAATCCATCAGAAGCCCAGAGCCCCAGCTTCCCTGGCAGGTCTGCCCTGCAACCAGGTGGGATTCAGAGATCTTGAAGTTCATCACAGACTTGGGCCTCAGCTCTGTGATAAAAGTTATTTTAGAAAAGTGTTCTGAAAATCACCTTTTCAGCCAATTCAGGACACATGTAGAAAATACTTCTGAAAGGATCCATCCCCTAATCTAAAACTTTTAGAGTACCTGGCACAACTTGTGGAAAGTGAGGATGACATCACAATTACTATAGAGACTTCTCTCAACAAAACTACTTAAAGAGAGAGAAAAGACTGTCTTTATGCAGCTGTCATCTGAAACAGCCTGTAGCCATTTTTTTTTTTTTTTTTTTTGCTGAGAAAAGTGCAAATCCAGCATGAGCTTCACCAAACTCTGGAAAGAAAAAATTAATCCTATCTGGAAAACATACTCTCGAAAAGTAAACCATGCAAAAAACTTACCTTAAATAGAAATATCAAAATAAAGGTATGGATTGGTATTCATATATTGGCCTAGAGACTCCTCTAGATGGTCTGCATCAGTTTTATCAGCCTGGCAAATCATAGCTCCACAACCTTAGAAACTTTATAAACCATAAATATGACATTTTTTATTAACCCCAAATCTTTCTCTGTATTTTCTTTTTGGTGTGCAAAGGAGCAGCAGAGAGCAATTTGCTACTCCATTCTTTCACTTCTCTTTAGTCATAATTTTTCATCTATTTTTTTATTTTTTATATGACCCTTTTCTTTTGCCCCAACACCTCTGAAAAAATATCCCAATTGCTCATTAGCTTGTCTCAGAATACAGGCATTTATGAAACTCTATGCAGCTTTGTTTACTGTGAAATGCAGCTCAAAACTTGAAAAACAAATCATGAAGGGTGGCTTTAAAAATTCAGTAGCAAGCTAACCTTCTCGGGAGGGTAAATGTGTATCCAGTTCTATATCTCTTTTTGTTGAATGCAAGCAATTTTGTGATATACTCAATTAAAAAAAAATCTCTGCAAACAGACGAGGAAAAGTTGAAAGTGGTTTTACGTTTTGCTGACAAACATTTCCAACAGTTAGTTCTCTTAGGAGTCATTTCTAGGTTTTATTAATGAAGAATGACGTTGTCTGGGATGCAGCCACATCTTTGTTAAGGGATGTTAAAAACCACCATCACTGAGGCCTAGAAGTGAAAAAAGGCTTTAATTTCAAAATAGTTAGAGAACAGGCATTAGGATTATTCAGCTGCATACTATAAAGCAGGTTATAACTAAAACATTTATTGTCTCCATGAATATAATGAGAATTTCATGATCCCATGGTTTAAAACCACTTAGTAGATTAAAGGTAGTTCCTCAGGCTTTCAGTGTGGTATAGCATTAGTCCTTATCTGATATCAGTGAAGTGCAATATGGATTGATATGTGGACCATAGAGTGAAACAGACTGATTGCCATTACAATATCAGCCTTACCATGTGCTTGCCACTTTGTCCCTCAAGGTAATTCATCAACCAGAGGTACAGTCATATATCGCTCTTTCTCCAATCTGCCTTAGAGAGACAGATTTTTGAGACCTGAATACTCAAAAAGCTTTAGGATCCATAAAATAGGCAAGTCATCTGGCTTGGAATGGGTTGACTGTGGAGTCCACACTGATCTTCTCATTCAACATGAAAAGCTGCCTTCAACATTAGCATTTGGGATGACTGTTTTCAGATGTCATTGATATTACTTGACCACAGTTCAAGAAAAAGATGGCCACAATAGCAGCCTGTGTTCTAGAGAGTCATTTTTGGTAACTCAAATTACTGTAGTCTATTTCTTGTAACTCAAATTACTGTCATTTATTTTACTCTAAAATACTTCCTTTTACATATGTCAGTGCTTTATTGTGATGGTTTTGACCTCAGTGAAGAACTCGTAGGAATCCTTTGCTCCCTCCCTTCCTATGCCTGAGGCTTTCATCCCACCAAATGGCAAGTTCAGATCTCTCACAAGCCAGCAGTTGGTCCACACCCATCCAGACTGTAGCCTGTGTGCCACCCGGTGAACGCGTCCCACGTTGCTGGACCACACAGTGGCTGCCAAGCCATATTTCACACCATTGGCTCTTTTGATCACTTCTTCTTCTGTATCAAATGCTACCACACATGTCACAGGACCAAAGATCTCTTCTTGCATGCAACAAGATTCATCCTTAACTTCAGCAATAACTGTGGGCAACATGAAATAGCCTTTCTGGTTGCCAGGTGGGAGATCCAAAGCATCCACTCCCTCTCCACAGAGGACTCTGGCTCCTTCAGCCTGGGCTTTCTTCACATAGTTCCTCACCTGGTTAAGCAACAGGAAAACATCACTGCTAAAGGACACCAAATCCTAAGGCTCCACACATTAGCAGGAGCCCCTGAATAACTCCAAATGGAACATACTGCCCCCCTACAACAGAGGGCAGCTTTCCCCAGCTTTTGTTCTTAAGTTTCTTTAAAGGTAAAGCTGTGTATTTCTTGCTGAAAAAACAATTGTTTGCTCTTTCCTAACACTTACTAGCCTAGCAGGCAACACTGCTGGTCCTTCTGGATAAGTTGTCTAAAGGGTAAGGCCCTTGGTGAAAACACAAGTGCTCCCAGAGCCTCCCTCCCTTCTTCTAGGAGCCTGGGCAGTATGCCATATATTCCACACCATGGTTCACTCCATTACTCCAAGGGATCAGTAATATTTTCCTGCCTCACAGGCAGGCTTATTAATTTTTTACATGCCACTAGGATGATGAATGCTACAGAAAATCTCATCAATAAATAATTAAAGATGTTTCCATGGCTGCTGCCACCATATGCTTGCTACCTTGAACACATCAGACATGCTGTTGATCTGCTTCTGCCTTTCTGCAATTGTTGCCTGGTTTCTCTTCTTATAGAAAGCCCAGAGAGACACCACAGGGCTTCCTTTTCTTTTTCTTCTTTTAGGCACCTTGGTAGGTTAAATTTGGAAGTCCTCTTTGGAGCCACAGACAGAGGACCTTGGGAAGTGGGTATTTCTACCGCTCTATTTTCAGAACCTCTGAAATCCCCTTGTGCAGCCCTCTAGAAGATTAGAAGAAATCACAAACTCTATGTAACATCACCTTTTGTAGATGTTCTTTACTTATAAGTGCTCCCACATCGACTGCAGGATCTGAGGGATTGCCGGTCTTCCACTTCTTGGCCTCTGCTACAAACCTCTTCAAAAACTCACTGTATATGCCCCTCTGAACAAAGATCCTGGAGGTGCAGAGACAGATCTCACCCTACCAAAAAGAAAGGAACAAAAAAAGAAATCAACAATGTTGGCTCATATTACACTGTACTATTGATGCATCCTAGGAGTCATATCCCACAATGAGACTTGTGTCTCCACATCCTTAGAAGTGCAAACTACATTAACCAGCACTGCAAAGTGGGATTTTTTTCCAGATAAAAAAGGAAAAGGGAAGGAAAAGACGAAACAACATCAGGATCATGCAGTCACTACCATAAGTAAATTTGATTTTTCATTGATTCCATGTTTTCTCTTTCAACATTTTTCATAGGAAATGTGATTCCAATTCTGAATGATCTCTGTCTTCATTTCCTGATAATCGATTTCTGATACCAAGCTAGTTTTCTGAACATTTGCGCTGATACAGTTTCCTGGCTTTGGTAATCTCTCCTGAGGGTGGTGATGAGGGAAGAACAATGTTGGTAAAATTTGGACAGAAGTCTCCTAATTTAATTCAGCAAATTAGCAAGCTTCCCACTTACTTGAACAGTGGGACTTACAGCAGCTGCTTCCTGGAGAGATAAGCAATGTAACTTTTTTGAGAGGAGTAATGACATCTTGTTACCTTGTGATGGACAGCACAAATAAGAGCTCTTTATTACTTTGTTCCTTGTTTGTGCAATAATGAAACTTTCTTCATATTTTTCTACTTGGGCTTTTCTCACAACACAATTTCGAAACAGACCCTGACAATTTACAGATGCAAAGGTACAGGCATATGCACACGAACTCTTGAACACACGTCCCTCCTTGCTGCAAACAGGGTTTATATGCTATAGATGTGGGAGGAACCTGGTTGGCAAAGCTGGACCTCAGGGTAGTAGGGATGCATTGGCTCAAGTCGGCATCATCGAAGATGATGGCGGGGTTTTTGCCTCCCAGTTCCAGCGAAAGCCGCTTGCAGTATGGAGCACTTTTCTCCGTGATCCGCTGGGCCGTCAGCGTGCTTCCTGTGAAGGAGACCAGAGGCACGTCGGGGTGGCAGACGAGGGCTTCTCCTGCCTTGGCGCCTGTTCCGAACACTATATTCACCACCCCATGAGGAACCCCTGATGGGAAGAAAGGCACACAGTCATTGTTCCCTTCCCATTGCTCAGCAGGTTTCACTTCACTGTGTTTTGTCCCAGAAGCTAGAAAATCACCTGTAACTCTAGAGTGGCAAATACTGACCCTTAACTTAAGTAGAAGCTGAAATGCATGATGTTAAATAGCTCTGGAGATCATGGGTTAAATGATAAAACCAATTCCACTGATCAGTTGATCTCATCTGATACGCATCATCAGAGATCCAGTTCTCAGTCATTCAAAGAAGAAACAATCATCCTCCCAGTTTTAGTTAACAGTGCATCAAATACAACCATGACAGAGATACCAAGAGCTGATTCTCACTCTTGTATGCTCTCATGGCTCCTCAGCTGGCATCACAGATTTAAGGACATCCTTAAGCGGAGTGCAGGAGGGGCAAAGGAGGCCTACAAAAACTTTTCATCAGAAGATAGTGGAAAAAGTGGGCAATAGCTGGGGTTGGAGAGATGGGATAGTATGAGGACTGGGAAAGCTTTTTTTCTCCAGTGCAACATTCAGCTACAGCAAACAGTCTTTCCCAAAGCCTTTGAGCACCTTCTGATTTCTGCAACAACAAAAGAACCCCCAACAAAATGGTGCACAGATAAGCATTTTTCCACCCCATTCCCCCTCCTTAGCATGCCACAGGACTTACCTGCTTTCTCCAAGAGCTTGCACATCATCCAAGCTGTGACAGATGTCATCTCACTTGGCTTGGCAACCACAGTATTTCCACATGCAATGGCAGGAGCTATTTTCCACGTCAACAAATACAGTGGCAAATTCCAAGGACTGATTAAACCAGCTACAAAGCAAATCAAAGACAGAAATTCAATCTGCTGGGATACAAAACTCTGATCTCAAGAAGTTATACACCAATTCAGATTTATGAAGGGAATTTGGCTATGGCTCTTATTTGCAGACAATTGTACAATAAATTTGCAGCATTTCTTGCAGGCAAATAACTTTTAAAAAGAATTGTGCAAATTATTCTAAAGGTGATCAACTGAACTCTCTGAATCAAAGTTTTGCTGCTTCTTCAGGGCAGAATCTGATATTCACAGGAAGTTTTTCAGTGTTTCCTAGGAACATTAATGCAAGGTTAGCCATAACAATCATTTACATCAACTGGTCTGTGGTAATACTTTGTGTTAGCTAACAGCAGATGAAGGTAATTATTGAATGGTTTGTGTTGTGAGGGTCCTTAAAGATCACCTAGTTCAAATTCCCCTGTCATGGGCAGGGACACTTTTCATTTGACCAGGTTGCTCAAAGCCCCATCCAACCTCGCCTTGAACAATTCCAGGGATGGGGCTTTGACCAGTTCTCTGGGAACCTGTTCCACCACCCTCACAGTAAAAAACTTTTTCCTAATATCTAATCTAAACCTACCTTCCTTCAATTTGAAGCCATTACCCCTTGCTCTATCGCTACATGTCCTTGTAAAAAGTCCCTCTTCAGCTCTCTTGTAGGTCTCCCAAGAGCTTTCTCTTCTCTAGGCTGAATGTGTTAGCTCAGATCATTCTTGCTTTCTTTTGCTCTTCAAAGTTTTTCTTGTTTTTCAATTCTAATATTTAAAAAGTATGTATAACATATAGTACACATTTTCCAGATAAATTTTAGTCTAACTCATGAGTGCCAAAATTTGTCACTGTACAAATCTTTTGTTCCCACAAATTGCTCAATTATCAGAATTATTTTCAGTAATTGCCTGTAGGAATATTTTCACTTTACATATTTATAAGAAATTATGAAAAATATCCATGATTGTTAGGTGTGACTCCTCACAAAAGCCACAGGATTTCTTGCTGTTTGATGGAGTAGATACAGTGAGGGACTTTTTCTTATGAGAGTGATTTTACCAGAAGTAGTCTTGTTCTCCACTGCTCAAGAAAACTTTTAAATAGGTCCACTAGGTTAGCCAATTTTATGTTTTAAATAATTCAAGTGTAAATGTGGAACACTCATATATAATTAATGTTATATGTTATTTATACTATATATATCTCTAATATAACCTAATAATAAAATCCATACACCATCATTACTTTGTCAGCTCAGCATAGCCACCTTATTTGTGAAGCAGCAGCATCATCTAGTGGCTGAGTTCAGCAATTCCCCAGCTAGAACTGGTTTATCCACCCATGTGCACTCGGGTCACAGACTCATTGCAAGCAACTACTGCTTTCCTAAAGGTGAGGAGTATCCTGTTCTCCCTGCAGGAGTAGCTGCTCAATGCTCTGCATGCCTCATTGACCCCCAGCTGTAATACTTAACTACAAAACACAAGAGAGATTTTGAGGGTGAGAGGTGGCAGGTTTGGCTTTTTTTTAAGGAGTGCAATAATTTTTTTGCCATGAAGTAGCATAACTGATTTTATGTGAAGTTGCTGATGCTTTAGTGAACAAGCCATGTTTCGCACATGACTCAGAGACAACAAATGCTGTTGAAAAAATCCTTTCTTTTCTGAGCCACATTTGAGGCAGACATTTTGCCAAGCTGTTCAGCATGTCAAGATCATCATACCAACTCCAACAGGTGCCCTCGAGGTGTAATGCACACAGCCCATGGTTGCCATCTCAGTGCACTCTGTGATGTGGTGAAGGATGGAAGAGGCAAAGAATCGGAAGTTGTACACAGCTCGAGGGATGTCCACTGTTCTGGCAAATGTAATAGTTTTTCCTGAAACAAAACCAAGCAAGCACGCTGCTATTACGGACAGAAACAGTGCTTTATACTCTGCTCTGAAAGTTGATTTGCATGTTTTTTGGGAAATGTCTTTTGTCCTGCACCCAAGTAATCCCCAGCACAGGGCAATCCCTAGTCAATGACAACAGCCCCCCTCTAGTGATGCACTCCAAATATCTAACAACTGACGTCAAAGTCAACAATTCTGAAAAGCAAGAATGCCCCAGGAATCCAAAATCCAAAACTTCTTCAAAGTTCATGCACATCAACTTCAGTTTGCTCCAACAGTTTATACCATACTAAAAATTTCATCCAAATCCTTCATTTCAACAATCAGCAAGACACATTTGGGATGAACAGTTCCAATTTTTACCCTGATCCTTTGACTCTGCTTGTGCAAACGCTTCCAGGTCATGTTCAATCAGATCTGCCAATTTGTTCAGGATCTGAGATCTTTCCCACGGACTTTTTGAGGACCAAATTGGGAAGGCATCTTTGGCAGCTTTGACAGCAGCTTCCACCTTAAAAAGTAAAAGAGGGATGGTGAATGTTTATGAAAGGCATAAGAAAATATCAAACTCTCAGCAGATGAATTCAGATTTCAGAGGCTAGTAATCCAGATCACACTGCTGGGAAGATGACATCTCCTTAGAGCTTCTCCATTGTTATCAAGACACTATCCCGTAACTCAAAAAGTGTTATTGAAATAAGAGTATCTAGAAAAAAAAATTCCACAGGAACTCTTGCTTTTCTCCAAATTCCAGCAACTTGTAGGCAACCTCCAGGCCTGGAGGAAATGTTAGACTGGTCAACTGGTACTAGCAAGTGCAACTGACCAAACTGAAGCAGAATCTTGTTGCTCATGGAGAAAATCTCCCCTGGAGCAAATGCAGTTTCAGTCTAAACATCCACAGCCCTTGCAATACAGGACTTCAGCTGTACCAGAAAATGATGAAAGTAAGAGGCTGCAGAAGGAACAGAATGTATGTCCTGCTAGCCCTTGATTTCCTCTCCCCTTTGCACCATTTGGTTCAAGCAAGGACTAAGAATATATTTAAGGAATGGACACTAAGAATATACTTAAGGAATGGACACTCAGAAAAATTTTATCTTACCTGATCACAGCTAGAAATTCATTAATGCCCTCACAGGAAAAAAGTTCCTTTCTAAACTCTTGGAGTTTAGTCAGTTCTCTCATCAGACACCTATTGAAACCTACAGATAAGAAAGATCATTATATGCATTTATGTAAATGCATACCAGTCTTATCAGTATTTTACTTGAGATGTACATGACTGCTGCATGGTCCTTCAGCCTGACCTTTCTTCTGAATAGTGGCAGATTACCAGCACTTTTCTGAAGCAGACTAGGCTTCAAAGGATTAAAATTCATCAGAAAGCTTTCTCTCCCATGAATCATTTCCTCCGGACTCTTACATGGAAGTTACCTGCATCTATTGATTTATAAGCAGTTCCTTCTTGATGTTTACCAGTCTCAGACTAAGTAAAGATGGTCATCAATATCCTTCCATGTTTTAATTAAGTGCCCTATTTCCCAATTTTTCTTCCTATGTATCACTTCTTCATTGTTCTAATCTCTAATCAAGGTGAGTTTTTAGTCAAAGCTGTCTTAGCTGGTTTCCTAAAATTTTTGCACATAAAATTTCTTCAGATTTTGGAAATCTGCCAAAATCAGTAACTAGGAGGATGCTAGTTATGACCTCTCCAAATGCTGGCACGTTGCTGGTTCCTATGCAGTCACTAAAGGCTCCTTTCCACCAATTCTACAAAACTGAGTTCCAAATTTGTTCCTTCTGATGCCTCAGAGCTTTTTTGGATTTTTTTAACTTTTGTAGATTTTAGAAGTAGTTGTGTAGTAAATGTATATTTTTATGTAGCTGTATTATATCCCTTACCCTTTATCAATGCCTCTAAATTGTGTTAGTGTGTTTAGTCTTTTTCCAAGGTAGAACTGTAGAAAAACATCCCTGCTTAAGAACATCTCACTCTAGGTCTGGACCAGGAGATATCACACAGACAAAGCAATCTTCAAGCCCAGAATTTTGAAGGAACTCCAAGGACCGTACATGCTTTGAAGAAGATGAAGATGAGGAATAAGGGCTCCCAAATGCCCCCAGACCCAATTCTCAAAGGGACGCGTCGGGGGGCAGAATGGGGCAGAACTGGGGGTGGACAGATCTGGGATTGGATGGACCTTATTATAAAATCATAGAACCACTATCTGGGTGCGCGCGCGTGGTGTGTATTCCTCTAGGCCTACTGCTCCCTTTATCTTATCTTACACACTAAATTGGCCTGGAGTCTTTTTCTCTGGTCTTTTTAGGCAACACTTCAGATTGTGATGGGTGACATTTCAATTATGTTTTACTAATGAGGGCACAAAATTTTAAGCAGGGGAAAAAAAAAATCTATCTAACCCTTCTTCTTCACCGTCCCATGCACATGAGAATTTATGGTCCCCATAAAAATAAGAGTTTGAGAGCCAGAACAATACCAGTACAGAGGCCAAGGAAGGAAATAAACCAACATGCACAATGTCACATGGATCACTTGCTATGTAGTTCAACAACCTACTGCTTAAGTGCTGATGATAGCAGGCTGTCAGTCACTGAGCAGCCGAAGCAGGACCAAGGCAGGCCTGGGAAAGAGGAACTGCAGTTTCCTGAGCGAGTCCGGTGCAGATGCCATGCTACCCTGAAAAGGTTCACCCTCTGTGAAACCATACCACCTTCACTAATTAACTTGTTCTTCCACCCTCCCATCTTGTGGTGCTGCTGCTCATCTGTCTTCTCCTCTGTGGCCTTTTCCACCGGGTGCTGCCAGGACAGAAGATAACGAAGACCATCTGCATTTTTAACCCTTCAGTGGGTGTAGAAGAAGGACAAAAATATTGCTTTTTCACAGACAGCAGAAGAGAAAACTAGCAAAGGAAGGAATTAAGTGGCAGTAGATTAATCTAAAAAAGGCAAGAGGAAAAAAGAAGAGATTGGTACAGATGTAAGAGAGCATACAAAAGTTAAACAGTTACTTAGTTTGACTAGCAAAAAGCAGCAAAGACAGTCAAGCCACAAAGAAAACACACGTAAGAATTAAACTATGAACTCGTGTGTCTGAAACACTTCCTTCTGCTTTCCTCTTCTGCACAAGACAGACACAGAGAAACAACACACAATCCAGACCCATCATAAAAGGTTGATATCAAAATACCCCAAACTGAACTGCCCTCAGGACATGATTTTGCTTTTGCAGGGGCTGATGGACAGAAGGAAGGTTCTTTAAAGAGAGGTTTTTAGAAAGTAGATATTTGCCAGCACTAATTAGTCCTCACCAGTCTGTCTGAGATACAGGGCACCTGCTCAGCTTGCTGTGGTACTGCTATTTAGAATTTAAGACATCTAGTCTAGGTGAGGGAACAAACTAACCCCTGAAAAAAATACATTCAGTGTTTTTGGCAGAAAGTGGCTGAAATGGCTACTGTAGCTGACCTGGTGTTAAACTCCAGGGTCAGCAACAGATTTGCTGTCTCCCTCCATTTCACCTTCTAATCTTCCACTAAAATTAACCAAGAAAATATCCAACTGGGCATTTTGCTGAAAACTGGCATCCTGAGTTCTTTGTTGAACTCAGGTCTATATGCTTAATTTGGTATCTCTAGATAACCTCAAGTAGTATGTGATTGCATTTTCTTCAGCATATTCCATCAGTCACCAGTGGATGCCAGCTCTGGACTCTGCAGAGCCCAGTCTTCTTGTCAGTAAAGGCAGGACTAAAGCACTTGCCAGATTTACAGGTCTTTAAACTGGGTTCCCATTGCTACACACAACCACTAACTCAGAAACTGAAAGAGAAAAGCCATTGCTCTTGGTATATTTGAACTGTATCTCTAGAGTGGCAAGTAGTCTACTTTGTTAGGCTGTTCTGGTATTCTCGAATCTCTCTTTTAATGATTTTGCAAATGAATGGACAGGAAGATTTGCACCTGCACATTAAAGAGAAGTCTTTTCAGGTATAATTAGGATTGGAATGAACTTATACAGATTTATTCTAACAAACCCAGCCTGTTACTCTTTAACCCTTGGTCATCAGCATCTAACAAATATTTACCCAGTTGAAATTACAGTGCAAAGGTTTCTGCTGAGAGAAGCAAAGAGAAAGATGTCAATAAGGCTGAAATGCAAGCGAAGGAAACAGTTACATACAGCAGTAGTTTGTTTTAAATATAATTTTGAAAATACTGTCCGCTACTCCTTGTCAATATTTTCCAAGTCTTTTGTGCTATCCAAGCTTGTCCAGCAGCTTCTCTCTTCATTAAATCTGAAGCACTATTTTAGACACAGACTTGTAGGTCCCTTATGAAGTAGAATCAATGAAACTGCAGCTCTCCTGCTCAATGTCATTGCCCATCTACACCTGCACATGTACAAGGTAACAGGAAACATTCATCCCATTAGAGAGCATGGGACCAGGAAACTTATTCATGCAGACGACATGTTATAAAGAAACGCATTCATCACAGCTACTCCATCACCTCTACTGAATATCCAACTGCTAAACCAAAACCAAAGAGGTCCAGAAGCTTTTTACCATCTTCAGAGAAGAGACAAGCCAAAAACCCTTTTAAATGAAAACTGCACATCATCAAGAGACTAAGAGAGAACACATTTAGTTACATATGGTGCCTCTAAGTTTATTTACAGAAGAGATCAATAAACACTTTTCTCTCTTACAGATTGTTTATACTTACAGCCAATCTGAGCGTTATTTTAATTTATGCACGACATCTCCCATGTGAGCTGACAGAGCTCCATGGAAGCTACTTGAGTTTTGTTGATTCGTACCAGCTTAGGATCCAGACCGTAACTGTCTAGTAGCAAATGACAGCATTTGCTGCCACAGCAGTGGATTACACAGCACTACAACGTAATCAAAAACTCACTCATTTAAGTGTTGAAGTCTTCCTAATTTTTCTGTTCTCTTACCGTCAGCCTCTCTTACTCAAAAGATTATTGTTATGTGCATTTAACATTTTTCACTTCTTTGTACATCTGGACAGTACTCACCTCTTCTTTGCCACTGTCTGGCACCTTGCAATAGACATCTCCGGTGGACGGATTATAGGAGTCTATGTAAGAGGAACAAGGAATAAATTTGCCACCTATAAAGTTTTCCAGCACTAGGAGAGCCTTCGACTGAGCCATCATTAGCTGCTTGCTTCATCTGTGACTCTTCCTCTACGAGGCATCAATTTAGATTAGTGTATCTGTATGTATTTGCACAGTAAGTCTGAACTCCTCCCCCTCTCTCTCCCTGCACCGCTTGCTTGCTTGCAAGTGGGAACAAACCCGGGTTACAACAGCAGGAAAGGGGGAATGGGGAAAAATTACTATTTCTGTGACACTTGGTTCTTTTCTAGGAGTTGAAGCAAGGAGGCAAAAACAGCATAGTTGCTGGAAAACAGCTCTTCTTTCTCTCTGGGAAATGAAATACCAAAGAAAAAGAGAAAAAGGAAGGTTTGACAGGGAAATGTCTCCCAGTACCAGTTTTTCAAGCTACAGTTTGAAGACAATTTGCAACAACTAAACAAAATAACTCAAACACCTAGCCAGGAACCTGCTCCTTAGTGTCAGCAGACACAAAGACAAGACACCTAGATTAGCACGTCTGCAACTCATGTTCACTGCTTGTCATCATCGATACTTTTCCTTGTACTTTTCCTTGTACTTTTCCTTGCAAAACCAATGCACCTGCCAAAACAAAAGATTTTAAGCATTAAGAAACTCTCTTTTTTTCCACCAATATCCACAAACAACAAACAATACGAACAGCTGAGTGACCCCTCAATTCAAACACTTGAGAAGCACAATCCTACCTGGTACAGTATGTTGTATGTCATCAAAAATTCATCTTTTTAAAAAAAGAAGGAAAAAAAAAAGCAAGACACTGACTTTCACTTTCCCTTCCGTAGATATTCCAGTGGAAGCCACCTTTCTATTACATATTATTAGGTTTTTCATTAACTTCCTAAGAACTCAAACTGCCTGGTAAGAGCTGTGTAAAAGACATTTTTCTCAAAGTGAGAATGCTTAAGATTATCAGATTGCTCTAAGACTGCATGCCACTTCCTTGCACTTCAGAGCTATTCAAAACACTACATCCAGAGAGCAGTATGTTGTCACCAGGAGATTGTGAATGTTTCAATCAGCAGTTTAGAAAGGTTTTGCACCCTAGGCCACTGCCAAGCCATCAAATTTCTTGTGGATCAACATGCAAGCATATTTTGATTGAATAAAGGTGATATGTTTCTGTTGCACAATAACAGATCATTTAGGTTTCAACCAATTGGCACCTCCGGGCAGAGTTCAAATCTGTGCTGAATGATAGTGCAGTCACATTGAAACTAGATTAGGTAATACCTCTGCTTCTCCCAAGATACAAACTGGGAAAGCATGCAGTAGCTTTTCTGCCATCACAGAATAGTGAGCCTCAAAATTTATTGCAATCATGTGTGAGAATAATTATCAGAGGTTCACCCCATATCACACTTCCTTGTCCACAAACAGTAAGGAATTTATGCAAGTTTAAACACTGAAGACACAGTCTTGTGCCTGTAACTGCTCATTGCCTTAAAAGCAACCTAAACATTTTCAAGTTCTGAAGGCAAGTTCAAGTAGGACAGGTTCAAATGCAGGAGCTAGGCAGTATGAATCTCTGGAATCCAGAAGGGCACCAAAACATTCACAGCTGGCATGGTAAAACTGGTAAGAATTTAAGTGCAATTTCTGGACTATAAAAAGACATAACAAACAGTGATAATTCATAAGATTCAGTTTTGGCAATAACAGTTTTCAGGTAATTCAGATTTATAAGATTTTACATGCACATAAAGCATTGCTGATACTTCTAAAAACGCTTGTGCAGTCAAGAATACAATTTATCTATGTGGTCAACTGCTGAACTGGAGCTAAAGCAGGTAAGTGCAAAAAAGTTACCTACCAAAAAAAGTACATGGAAAGTGTAGGTACAGACCATACATGACTTTGAACTAAGTAACAATCACGGGCTTTTTGCGTTCTTCACTCCCTGGACACGGCTTTACTTCAATTAACCCCAGTGACTGATGCTGTGGAGAAAGTACTAATTCCTACCCCCCACTACTAACTATGGGCAAAATTGCATTGTCTCCACTCTGACTCATGTACAGGTCCTGAAATACCTGAGGTATTTTCACACATCCTATTGAAAAAAAAAGACAAGTTGTAGTCAAGTGTGTCTGTCCTGAGCTTACACTGGAGGTGGTAGAAGGACCCTCTTTTTAGTTGGGAGGTTTCATCTGCCCCACTACTGAAAAGTGGGAAGGAGTTATAGGCATAAGTAAGCACAATAACTGGATTTAGCAGACATCACAAGATTAAACTGTCAGCCTTTGCTGAAAAGAGTTTTTTGGATGAAAGATGTGTATCCGCAGTAGCTGCACTGACTAACACAAGGAAAACTGCAATTATTTCTTCAGAAGGACAAGTTGGATGCCAGTTTTACATTTTAACTTGCAAATTTACTCTGAAACTTCTCAGTTATAGAAAGTAAAGAATGGTTTAACACAATTTAGAACTGTTTAAATAGTAAAAGATGAAGGAGACAAAAGTGCTCAGACAAATTTATTTTATTATTCTTACTCTTAAGAATATTCCTATTCTTAAAAAATAAAATTAGCCAAAGTTGGCACAGCTTCCACTACACAGCAAAAGAAATTTTTTTAAATAAATTTTGGAGCAGGGAAAATAACCCCAGGATACTACTACATGTCATTCTCTTAAAAACAAAGTAAATAGTTCTTTTTTCCCTGAATATGAATTGAACTCAAACCTAAAAATATATTAGACCAATAAAGTTACTTTACTGAATTAATGTGCAGCAAAAAAGCAATCAAAGAAAATATGTAAACAATTTATGTCTGTGAGTAAGGAGCTTTTTTCATGATAATTCATCATCTTTTTTTCTCCAATTCAACTTTCTAATATTTTTCCATCAACTTCTCTAAGGCCTAAATTCCACATGGAGAAACACATGAGAGTCTTGAGATCAAGAAGTGCAACACTTGCAGTTCCTTGTCAGTTGGCATCTTGTTCTGCAGCAGGAGAAACTGATGAAGGGATCCCCAGATGTATCACACGATTTAGCTTTTGCCATCGTCATCTTCTCCCCAATTAATTGCACTTGTTCCTTCAACTGAAATAATTGCATTCTTAGACAGAAGTTTGGATATCTGATTGTGTTTTGGTTGGACGGTGGAAATTCTGTCACCATGGTCATTCTTTAATCTAAAAATATAAGCAAATGGAAAAAACCCTATGGTGAAAAATGAAGTACTGAATGTAAAACAATTACAGCATTTTTCAACATGATGCAGTAGCTGTGGAAAAAAATAATTCCTTTTGTTCTGAAGTTCTCTGGAACAAGATCACAGGTACTAAAACAGCAATTCCCAAATAACAATCAGAGAGGTTATTTAGTCCCAATTCTACAAACATTGGTCATCACACATCCAAACAGAACCCCACTCACTTCAAATTAAATTTATGAAAAATGGGTGCAAAGACCTAATTCTGGATCCTATTTAAGACCAGAGAGATTGGTAAGAGCCCTAAAGCTCCAAAAGGCCCAGAGCCTCTAACAGACCTAGCACATCATTCCTACACAAACATGGAGAAACCAAAAATTTTCATGCTCAAATTCCATGTTTTGACATTAAATGACTCAGCTTTAAGTCTCAGCACCAGAACTAGGTTAATGTGACTAAATTGCACTCCTTCAGGCCTAAAATTAGAACTCAAATTCTAATCCAAAAATAACAGCAATATTTTTTTAAAGGGACAGATAGAGGGACATTCATAGTTTTGGCTTCTAGCAGAAGGCAAAATATTTATGTTTAGCCCCACAATTTTTGATTCCTCTAACAAAGAATCAGAAAATATTTATAGGCATCAGTGAGAATGAAATGTACAGTTTTCTTTAATGTTAACAGAAAAAAATCTGGGACCCTAACTAGACACAGCAAAAAAGGGCCAATACTTTTTATTTGCAGGCTATTTCCAGTGTATTTATACAGGCAGATTTCAAAAAGACTGATGTGTGTTAAAATAGTGAAGGGTTATTTTTTAACTCAAGAGAGGTGGGAAAAAAATTCTAAATAGAGTAATTTTTACTCCTAATAAACTGAACAGGACCATGGCAAGTTTTCCTCACATCTTACTGAAGCACTGCCTCTTTTTTAGAGGAAAAAATTCACTTTTCAGACTAGAGAGTGTGAAACAGATCTTAACCATAATATTGTTCCTTTGCAGTATAGAAAGTCTCTTAGAAAAACACCAAACCTCTGTAACAACTCCTGCAGCAATAGTGGAACCACTGTAGCGTAACATAAACCTCCCCAGCTCTTTGAAATCTTTGTACAACTCTAGAGCAACAGGTCTTTGAGTCTGTAGTTCTATTTGAGCATTCTGTCCTTTAGTCAAGAACCTGCAGGTAAATAAGCAGAAAATTCTATTAGTAATATATATACACAAATAAATGAAGAAAAGAACACTAAATGGGAAAAAATCAAGTTAAAAGGCCAAAAGTGTAAGTATCAAGCTTGATTTCAAGTATAATCCAAGCCATGAGACTGAACACTCATTTGCCTGAAGTGTATATATAAGGCATCTGAGTTTTCTTCAAAAACTTCTAGAGAAGGGCACTCACCACAACATTTAGCAAATTGTTTTGAAGCTAACTATCTCATTAACACCTGTTTTTTTCATGCCAAGTAGAAATCAAGTCTTGTTTCAAACGCCACAACTAAAGAGCCAATTCATTGCTCTGTAGAAGTCTGCAACAGTTTCAGACATGCAATTTCTGGAAAAGGATTATTTTGATAACATTGTAGTATCAAATAGCATTTCTAGCCAAATACAGCTTTAAATAACTAGAGGGATGTTACTGTAGTTGTATGGGAAGACTCTAAATTTTTTTTATGTTCACCCACTGCCTAGTCAAGTGTATTTTAGAACAGTAAACCAGCTCCATGAGATCCCATGCTCTAACAGGAAAAGAAGAAATACTATAACCAAAAAAAAGGAAAAAAATCCTTTAATTGCAGGGTTGTTGATCTAGGATTCACTCCCAATTCTGCAATTGACCTTAAGCAAGTCATTTGACTTCTCAGGTGCTCTGCATTTATCAAGTGGGCAGGAGGTTTTTTACTTTGTAAAACACACTGAAATCCAAACATGAAACCAACTAAAACAACAAAAGAATATTCTTATAAACA